TGCTTCCTCCTGATCTCTCATGCAGGTGCAGGGGCCCAAGCACTTGAGCCATCCTCCACTGCCTTCCCGGGCCACAGCAGAGAGCTGGACTGGAAGAGGAGCAACCGGGACTAGAACCCGGCGCCCATATGGGATGCTGGCGCCACAGGTGGAGGATTAACCAAGTGAACCATGGCGCCGGCCCCAAGGAGTCATTTTAAGCTGGCAAAAACCAAGTGTTTTTAAGGATAGTATTGATAGTAGTATATAGCATCTAATAATTATTGAGTGGTTATGTGCTAGCACATAAAGACATTTCCACTACTGCTTTTTTGTATTGTTTTGTCTGTATTTTGCAAATGGGAAAACTCTAAGGTTAAGATGACTTTCTCAAGATCACATAGCTGTTAAATAATACAGACATTATTGTAACCCAGGTAGCCTGATTTCAAAACCCAGTCTCTTAAAATTATAGTGTCTTGCATATCTGGTTGTACGTAATATGTGTGTTTATATGTAAATATGTTTGTGTGTTTGTGTTTACATGTTGTATGTGTACATATATCTGTATGTATATATTTCAAAGGTATATTGTGTCATGCTTCATATGCTATATAAATGGTATTTCCTAGTTTGTAATTAGAAATACAAAAAATAATTTAAAATAAGATCTATTACTGTGTGATCTGTATTTACACTAACAATGAGGCTAGCCATAAACTCCTTAAACCTGACTTGAGAATCAACAGTTCTGCAACACTTGGTATTGCCTGAGATGTTATTAGTACAAAGTTGCTTTCTTATCCTGTAATGAAAGGTAGTGCAACACAGAAATCTGAATGCTGTTTAAGCAGACAACTCAAAGAATTCATTAGTTATAACATAATTATCCAAAGCTTACTGATGGACACTATCCTAGCATTATTATATATATAATATAAAAGATATATATAGATAAACTTATTTAATCCTCAAAACAATCCTTTATTACTATATTGTTATTGTTGACTAACTTTCATCACCTGATTTTGCATATGACAACTCATAGATTTCCCCCTTTTTTTTTATACTCAGTACCCTCAATTCTGTTACCCTTTTAAAGAATGATATCTAAGATCTGTACTCCATATTTGGTCCCACATTTGCAGAGAAAAGCAAAAATGTCTTTAATAATTTAATATTCTGTATATTATAGTTCTATTAGTGCAGCTTAAATCCACATAAGCTTAGTGCATAAAGTAATACTAAAATTAAAATCCCTCAACCCTTTGAACACATCTTACAGAAGCATCTTTTATTTCTTACTCTGTTACTTTTGTAGTTGTTTTGGAATCTACTATAGAATTCTTACATTTATCTCTCAAGTTTTTCTTTTTAGATGTCAGATCTTTTTGGATCCTTATTTTGTAATCTAGTGTTTTACTCTCTGTTGTAGCTTCCTATCATCTACAAAGCTGAGGGATATCCCTTGAGTGCTGTGGTGCTATGGTTTGGATATTAGTTTGGATGTTAAATATCTCCCTGAAGCCCAGTGTTAGAGGATTGGTCACCAGGGTGGTACTCTTGGGTAGCAGTGAAATCTTTAGGAGATGAGACCTAGTTGGAGATTGTTAGGTCACTGAAGGCATGCCCTCAAAAGATAATTACAGCAAGAGGGTGATATAAAAGCCTGAGTTTGATCTCAACCATTTTGTCTGCCTCCTGACTTGCAATGTGATCCTTCTTCTATACAGGGGCTGCTATTGCCATCTGTCACACAGAGCAGATGCCAAATGAATGGGGCTACCCAGTTTTGGACTTGAACCTCCAAAGCTGTTAGCTAAATAAATCCTTTCTCTTTATAAATGTAGTTGGCTCATATATTTCACTGTAGTAATGAAAATCTGACTAATACAGCGTACACATGACTCTTTTCTCTATTACTGTTACTTCTGTAGTTGTTTTGCAATCTACTATAGAATTCCTACAATTTTCCCTCTTAGAAAATCTGGATCCTCATTTTGTTAGCCAGTATTTTACTCTCTTTTGCAGCTTAAAAACTGAAGTGCATACCTGTTCAGATCTTCATTTTTGGATACCTCTTAAAACATACCTTCTGTCCTCATTCCATTAAGTAGTATTCTGTAGGTATTCAAACAGTTGCTAATTTAGCTAGCTGAACTGGAATATATATATATATATATGAAATATGCATATGATATATATATGTTCTCAAGAAAATTGTGAATGACATTATAAGATTTTTTACTAACATCTAGTTAAATATCAAGTGTATTTTCTTTATCTGTAAGACATTATATATGTAGAACAATGAAAATGATTAGTCCATTCCATGTCTTGTTATTAACTTCATCCTATCCTAGTCTTAGAGATCTCTACATCCTCTTCGAAGTAGTCACATCAAATTTTTAATATTTTGTTTTGGAATGTTACCTGAAGTTAACATGAATCTTATTAGATTGTAGAATGTACTGTCTTATATTTGAAAAGTCTCTAGTCAGTGACTCTGGCAATGATTCAAAATATCATTTGCAGGTTTTGTTCAGTATCTTGAAACATTTGTTTAGTCTGAAAGATAGGAGCTAACAAACTAACTAGTTCTTTTTCAAACCCTTCTCTTATTTTCCACATCCTTTCCCCTTTCCTGTTATTCACTCTTCACTGTTCAATATAAATATCATTCTCTTTGCTAAATCATACAAATCAGGGTCAAAGAGAGTGTTTCAAAAAACAGCATGTATAATTAAATTAATTGCATGCAAAAGAATAGTATACATAAATGCTTTTATAGACTTCCTGATAAAGTTAATTTTTACACAGACTTCCTGTGAATTTGATGGTAAAAAGGAAGATGAGAGAAAAGACAAAAATCTGTCAGGTGGTAAGCTATTTGGTAGACAATACTTTTTTTTTAAGATTTATTTATTTATTTGAAAATTTACAGAATGGCAGAGAGAGAGACAGAGAGTCATTGGGCCTCTGCACCCACTTGGGAGACCTGGAAGAAGCTCTTGGTTCCTGGCTTTGAATCAGCACAGCTCCAGCCGTTGCAGCCATCTGGGGAGTGAATTAGTGGATAGAAGGTGGATGGAAGGCCTCTCTCTCTCTCCTCTCTCTCTGTCTCTACTTCCCTTTGTTTTTTTTTTTTTGTTTGTTTTGTTTTGTTTTGTTTTTGTTTTTTGACAGGCAGAGTGGACAGTGAGAGAGAGAGAGACAGAGAGAAAGGTCTTCCTTTTGCCGTTGGTTCAGCCTCCAATGGCTGCCGCGGCTGGCGCGATGCAACCGGCGCATCGTGCTGATCCGAAGCCAGGAGCCAGGGGCTTCTCCTGGTCTCCCATGCGGGTGCAGGGCCCAAGGACTTGGGCCATCCTCCACTGCACTCCCGACCCATAGCAGAGAGCTGGCCTGGAAGGGGTGCAACCGGGACAGAATCCGGCGCCCCGACCGGGACTAGAACCCGGTGTGCCGGCACCACAGGCGGAGGATTAGGCTATTGAGCCACGGCACCGGCCGTCTACTTCCCTTTGTAACTCTGTCTTTCAAATAAATAAAATAAATCTTAAAAAAAAAAAAAAAAGGAAGTAAAATAGGTTAAAAAAAAAAAAATCAACACACTTCGGGGATGGCATTGTGGCCTAGCGGGTAAAGCCACCACCTGCAGTGCCACCATCCATTTGGGTGTTTGAGTCCCAGCTGCTCCACTTCCAATCTAGCTCTCTGTTATGGCCTGGGAAAGCAGTAGAAGATGGCCCAAATCCTTGGGCCCCTGCACCTGGGTGGAAAACCTGGAAGAAGCTTCTGGCTCCTGGCTTCGGATTCGCATAGCTCCAGCCGTTGTGGCCAACTGGGGAATGAACCATCGGATGGAAGACCTCTCTTTCTCTCTCTGTCTTTCTCTGCCTTTCCTTTTCTCTGTGTAACTCCTGAATTTCAAATAAATAAATAAATCTTTAAAAAATCAACACTATAATATGTAACAAAATGTTATGATTGAAACAGTACTTGATAATTATTCTGCTAGATGTATATGGGATTATTTGGAGAGATTAGAAGTAGAGGATGATTTCAGTGGTAAGGTGTTCATATTAACGTAATTTATTAACTGACTTAAAATTCAGTGTTAAGGGCCGGTGCTGTGGCGTAGTAGGTTAAACCTCTACCTCCAGAGCCAGTATCACAAACACACAGGTTTGTATCCTGGCTGTTCCACTTCTGATCTAGCACCCTGCTGCTAATAGCCTGGGAAAGCAGTGGAAGCTGGCCCAAGTGCTTGGGCCCCTGCACCTACATGGGAGACCTGGAAGAAGCTCCTGTCTCCTGGCTTTGGCCTGGCCCAGAACTAGTAGTTGTGGCCATTTGGGGAGTAAACCAGTAGAAGAAGACTTCTCTTTCTGTAGAAGAAGACTCTCGGTGTCTGTAACTCTGCCTCTTGAATATAAAATTCTTTTTAAAAAAATTCAGTGTAAAATGATACAGTTCTTGGTGAAGACAAAAGTTTCAATTTTTTAATTTTTCCCACATAAAAATGGGTGGGAATAAAGTGCTATACTCTATCCTACTAGTATTTATTTTATTTAGTAGTATATAAAATATTTGAATTAATTTGATAATATTCTTAAGATGGATACCAAACCTGTGTTGTTATCCCCATAACTTGTATTTGAAATAAGACAGGGAGGAAACAATTAGTATTATATAGATATCTTATATTCCTTCAGTCCTTCTAAGCAAGTAGTGCAATATTTTCTGAAATACATACCTATTAATTTCTTATGGCTGCTGAAGCAAATGACCACAAATGCAGTTTTTTTAAAAATAATATGTTTCTACATTTCTCTGATCCTTGTGGCGGCTAGAAACCTGGAATTACTTTCAGTTAGTTGAAACTAAGGTGGCAGAGGCTTGCTCCCTGTGAAGATTTTAGGGAGGAATCTGTTTTTGATTCTTCCAGTTTCTGGTAGCTACAGCACTCAAGATGTTTTGTTTTGTTTTGTTTTGTTTTTGTTTTTGTTTTTTGACAGGCAGAGTTAGTGCTGTGCCGATCCGAAGCCAGGAGCCAGGTGCTTCCTCCTGGTCTCCCGTGCAGGTGCAGGGTGCAAGCACTTGGGCCATCTTCCACTGCACTCCCAGGCCACAGCAGAGAGCTGGACAGGAAGAGGAGTAACCGGGACAGAATCCAGCGCCCTAACCAGGACTAGAACCCGGGGTGCCGGCGCCATAGGCAGAGGATTAACCAAGTGAGCCGTGGCGCCGGCCTCCAGTCTTTACCTGTATAGTCACATGACCTTGTCTTCTTCTGTCTATGTCAGATTTCTGCTTTCTTATAAAGTGGGTGTTGATTGCAATTAGAGCTCACTTGAACCATCTAGGATGGAGGATAATCTCTCCAATTTAAAATCCTCGGTCACATCCACAGAGTCCTATTTTGTCATATAAAGTAACATTCATGGTATTAGGAATTAATATGTGAATGTTGGAGAGTCTTTTTCAGCCTATCAGTCCTTACTGTCTTTTTTCTTTTCTTTCTCAGCCCTTTTCTCCTCTACTATTTTTATTCTTTTTTTATTTTTATTTTCCAGAATCACAGGGTGCTAAGTAGATTAAATGGGCATAATCTGAATTTGTGATTAAAAGTTGAGTGGCTGTGATATAAATCAGTAAGTGATTTATATTGCCCTCACTATAAAATGTTGGGTTCTGTAAACAATAGTTGTGATGCTGTTGTTGGATTGACAATAATGATACCTTTGTTGAATTCAGCTTCTTTTATTAAAGTAATTTTTAAAGCTTTTGGTTTAACAAAATTTCTTTCCAATTAATGTATCTGTTGATTGGTAGGCATTCATATTACTTTTATTATTGAGAAAGCAGTCAAATATAATGTTTTTTCAAAATTGATTTTACTTCTAGCAAGTTTTCTTTCACAGTTTCATTAATAATAGATTTCGATTTAACAAACACAGAATAAAAGGCTTCTGGTTTTTTTATTTTTTTATTTTTTATTTATTTATTTATTTTTTTATTTTTGACAAGCAGAGTTAGACAGTGAGAGAGAGACAGAGAAAGGTCTTCCTTCCGTTGGTTCACCCCCAAAATGGCCACTACGGCTGGTGCTGCGCCGATCCAAAGCCAGGAGCCAGGTGCTTCCTCCTGGTCTCCCATGCAGGTGCAGGGGCCCAAGCACTTGGGCCATCCTCCACTGCCTTCCCGGGCCACAGCAGAGAGCTGGACTGGAAGAGGAGCAACCAGGACAGAATCCGGCTCCCCAACTGGGGCTAGAACCTGGGGTGTCAGCGCCACAGGTGGAGGATTAGCCTAGTGAGCCGCAGTGCTGGCCTGTTTTTTTGTTTTGCTTTGTTTTGTTTTGTTTTTAAGATTTGTTTATTTATTTGAAAGTCAGAGTTACACAGAGAGAGGAGAGGCACAGAGAGAGAGGTCTTCCATCCACTGGTTCACTCCCCAATTGGCCGCAACAGCTGGAGCCGGGAGCCAGGAGTTTCTTTTGGGTCTCCCATGAGGGTGAAGGGGCCCAGGGACTTGGGCCGTCTTGTACTGCTTTCCCAGGCCATTGTATAGAGTTGGAGCAGAAGTGGAGCAGCCGGGTCTCGAACTGGCACCTATATGGGGTGCTGGTACTGCAGATGGCAGCTTTACCTGCTACACCATAGTGCCAGCCCCAAAGGGTTCTATTGAATTTCTTCTAACCCTAATAGCCTCTGTTCTAGTATTTAGTGAATTGAAATCAATATAATCAATATACACATAAATAAACAAAATATTTGGTTTATTTTTTGCTATTTGAAAAACAGTTATTTTCACAGGTTATTTTGACATAACTGTCCATGCTTTTTGTTTTTCTGTAGATGGACCACACATCCCCGACCTACATGCTTGCTAACTTAACCCACTTACATTCTGAACAACTCCTGCAGGGCTTGAATCTTCTTCGTCAGCATCACGAACTCTGTGACATCATTCTTCGAGTAGGTGATGTTAAAATTCATGCTCACAAAGTGGTGCTTGCCAGCATCAGCCCATATTTCAAAGCTATGTTCACTGGAAACCTTTCCGAAAAAGAGAACAGTGAAGTTGAATTTCAATGTATCGATGAAACTGCTCTGCAGGCCATTGTGGAATATGCCTATACGGGGACTGTTTTTATTTCTCAGGACACAGTTGAATCTCTCCTTCCAGCAGCCAACCTACTCCAGATAAAACTTGTCCTTAAGGAATGTTGTGCGTTTCTTGAAAGCCAGCTTGATCCTGGTAATTGCATTGGAATTTCTCGTTTTGCAGAGACATATGGTTGCCATGACCTTTATTTGGCAGCCACTAAATACATATGCCAGAATTTTGAAGCTGTTTGCCAGACTGAAGAGTTTTTTGAGCTTACACATGCTGATTTGGATGAAATTGTCTCCAATGACTGTTTGAATGTAGCTACCGAAGAGACTGTTTTTTATGCACTGGAGTCTTGGATCAAGTATGATGTACAAGAACGCCAGAAATACTTAGCACAGCTACTAAATAGTGTACGATTACCTTTGCTGAGTGTTAAGTTTCTCACTAGACTCTATGAAGCAAATCATCTTATTCGCGATGACCGCACTTGCAAACATCTTTTGAATGAAGCCCTAAAGTACCACTTTATGCCAGAACATAGACTGTCTCATCAGACAGTCTTGATAACACGACCTCGCTGTGCTCCCAAAGTACTTTGTGCAGTAGGTGGAAAATCTGGACTGTTTGCCTGTTTGGATAGGTAATTAGAAGACTTTCTTAAAGAAACAATGCTAACAGATTTTATGCTTTTTAAATGTGCTTTCTGTATTTTAAAAATAGTTTGATTTTCCATTTTACTTTTTTTCTTTTTGTTCTTTTTTTCCTCTTAAAATATTTGTGTGGTTGTTTTAATCACATTGCCATCCATTCTCTACAATTCTCTCAATCATTAACCTTTTTTTTTTTTTTTGACAGGCAGAGTGGACAGTGAGAGAGAGAGAGACAGAGAGAAAGGTCTTCCTTTGCCGTTGGTTCACCCTCCAATGGCCGCCGCGGCCAGCGCGCTGCAGCCGGCGCACCGCGCTGATCCGATGGCAGGAGCCAGGAGCCAGGTGCTTCTCCTGGTCTCCCATGGGGTGCAGGGCCCAAGCACCTGGGCCATCCTCCACTGCACTCCCTGGCCACAGCAGAGGGCTGGCCTGGAAGAGGGGCAACTGGGACAGAATCCGGCGCCCCGACCGGGACTAGAACCCGGTGTGCCGGCGCCGCTAGGCGGAGGATTAGCCTAGTGAGCCGCGGCGCCGGCCTCAATCATTAACCTTTACACACACTTTATCGTACCTGTTCCTCACTAAATCTTTCATTTTATGTCATCCTTTTTTGTTTTCTTTCTGGAATCATTTACTACTTTCTTTATCTCATACTAGGTCAAGTGCATCAGAAGATGCCAAAGAGTTGAGATAAGAACCTGTGATGAGGGTGGAAAACAGTTCATTTAAAGAACTAGCAAATAAGAAAAAAATAGGATAATATAGATCAGAGCTTTATGTGTAATTTGTTTTCTTTAGTATAAATAGTTTTTAAAGCCAAAAGTAAAAAAGTGCTTTGTTTTCTAATTACTTAATAGTTGTGAGACTTGTTCTGTGAGGAACTAACAGATATTTTCAACTATGGGCCATATGAAGAGTCTTTAAGAACTATCCATACCTTTAGACCCAATAATCTTTTATTATAGAATCTTATCATAATAAAATTTAAAATTAAAATATCACTTGCACAGAGGTGTTTATTGTAGTATTATTTTTAACTCTGGAAAAATTAGAAGCAATCTGAATTAGAATTCAATTTAATTCAACAAAAATATTAAACACCTGTGCAGCAGACACACCTTTAGATAATGGGCCTTTATCAAATTCATAACCTAGTAAAGTAAACATTTAATTTTTTTTTTTTTTTTTTTTGACAGGCAGAGTGGACAGTGAGAGAGAGAGACAGAGAGAAAGGTATTCCTTTTGCCGTTGGTTCACCCTCCAATGGCCGCCCCGGCCGGCGCGCTGCGGCTGGTGCGTCGCGCTGATCAGGAGCCAGGTGCTTCTGGTCTCCCATGCAGGTGCAGGGCCCAAGCACTTGGGACATCCTCCACTGCCTTCCCGGGCCACAGCAGAGAGCTGGCCTGGAAGAGGGGCAACGGGACAGATTCAGGTGCCCCGACCGGGATTAGAACCCAGTGTGCTGGCCGGCGCCGGCCGTAAAGTAAACATTTAAATAGATAGTTATTTTACACAGTGGTAATATAATGATAATAATCATACTATGGAAGTATTAAGGTGAGATATTTATTCCACATGTGGGGCTTAGTGTAGGATATTATAGAAAAGTTAATGTATAATCTGAGTGTTGAGGGCTCTGTAAGACTCAATAAAAAAAAAAAGCACAGGAACTGCATGAAAACACAATGGCCTGATACAGTATGCAATATTCAAGTTACTAAAAGCTATTTATTTAGAAATATAAAGTTCTAATCAATAACTGTCCAGCAATGATCTACATAAACTAAGTCAAGAAATTATTGTATGTCATCATGAAAAGAAGTAGTTATAAAACTACTTTAAGAAGATTAGTGAAATGATCAGAATTGTATATTAGATCATTTTGGCTTCATTTTGAAGAAAGATTACAGGGCCAGGATTGGCATCAGAGAAATTAGGTGAGAGGCAATTGTAGAAGTACAAGCAAGTGATTATCAGATCCTGAATTAAGCTAAAAGTAGTAAAGACAGAAAATAAGACATTACTTTAAGAAACAGAGATTAAATTAAATAGATTCGCCATTTCAATGAATATGGTGGAGGGATTGTCAGAGAGAGAGAGGAATCAAAGATAAGTGTGATTTCTTTATTAGATTTTTGGGAGGATGATTATATAGGGAGAGATTGGGAGAAAGGGAAGGAAAGAGAATACAAAAGGAAGAACTACTTTAAGGGGAGAAAATAATGTGTTTAGTTTTGGACATTCTGAGTTTGAAGTTCCTATTGAATACTCAAGTAAAGGATGCCTCACTGCTAGCTGGATGTAGCTGCATAGCTCAAAGAAGTGATCAGAGCTAGAAATTTGATAGTTATCAGCAGTACAAAATGTAATGGAAAGATCCAGAAAGAAAAAGATGAAATGTGGCTATTAGATTTGGCAGTTTGGAAATCATTAATGAATTTGGTGATCAACAGGATTGTAAGAATCCTGTAGATATATTTCAATGGGTTGAGATGTGAATGTAAGTAAAGAAATTGACTGTGAGTGAAAACTGTTCTTGGCAAGAAGAATCTTGGCAAGAACAAGAAGGAGACTTAAGCAGTAACTGAGAGTGTCAGAGGAGGCTTTTGTGTTGATTTTATTTTGTCCTTGAAGAGAAAGACATGAATATGTTAATAATAATAATGAAATGCCAGTGAAGCAGGGGGTTGGGGTGAATGAATATACAAGGTAAAGGAATAGTCATTGATGGACCAAAATCTTAGAGGAAATACACAGAGTACTTCAAAAAGTTAATGGAAAAATGGAATTAAAAGATGAGTTCATTTTGATGGAAAATCTTTGGAAATCCATGAAATTTTTTCATAGTAAGCATTTTCCATGAAGTTTTTTAAGACCCTCTCATATGCATCGATTTCAAATTTTTTTTGCAACAAAATAAACTTATAGTTCCATTTCTAAACTTTTTGAAATACTCTTAAAGAAAAGGATGGTATCAAAAGCAGGAATAAAAGGTTTTGAATAGCTGGGAGACTGGGATGTAAAAGTAGGTTTACTGGACGTCAGGAAGGATGAGAAAGGGATTTATGATACATGCTGTCCAATGGCTTCAGTTTTTTCTTTAGAAGAGTAAAGTGTTTTTTAGAGGAGAGTGTAGAGAATGGGATAGAGAGCCTAATAAAATTGGAGAAGTTCCAAGAATGGTATTGTTTCTACTTTATGTAGGGAGCTATAATGATGAAAATACACTGAAAACATTTATGAGTAATTATGCATATATGTTAAATATTGAATGGACCTTTAACCACAACACTCACAGCATCATTCATGTCAACACATTAAATTACAAATCTAATTTTCAAAAAAGAAACTCTCATTAGAACTGGTTGCCATTTGCCCTCAAAAAGACTGAAAGCCTTTTTATATTGCATCCACTTACCTAAATTATCTCTAGAATTCTATGAATTCTAGATAATACATCATCATAAACTCTAGTCGTCTTTTTTTTTTTTTTTAAGATTTATTTATTTACTTGAAAGGCAGAGTTAACAGAGAGGCAGAGAGAGAGAAAGGTCTTCCATCTGTTGGTTCACTCCCCAAATGGCTGCAATGGCCAGAGCTGTGCTGATCCAAAGACAGGAGCCAGGAACTTCTGGGTCTCCCACATGGGTGCAGAGGCTCAAGGACTTGGACCATCTTGTACTTCCTTCCCAGGCCATAGCAGAGAGATGGATCAGAAGTGGAACAGCTGGGACTTGAACAGGTTCCCATATCAGCACTGCAGGTGGTGGCTTTACTCACTAAGCCAGGGTGCTGACCCCCGTAAACTCTAATCTTATCATCACTGATAGGTTTTGGTTTTCTCCCCCTTACACCAACCAGTTTTCCAATTCTCCAGCACCAACCAGATGTCAATTGAGTTTTGACATTAACTTCCCAGTTGGCCTGGACCCCATGTTTAAGACTCCATCTCACAAGACTCTCCCTATTTCAAATGCCAGCCTTTATCATCACCATTGAGTTCAGTGAATTCAAAATGATAGTTTCAGACATTGTACTCTCTACCACTTTTCTTTCTAGATTATTCATTTTAATAGATGCATTCTGCTACGGTTTGAAAAATGGTCCTCCCAATTCATGTCTTGAAAACTTAATCCCTAGTATGGAAGTAGGAATATTAGGAATTGATTAGGTCTTGGAGCCCTGCCTGTATGAATGACTTAAGGCCCTTATCTCAGGAGTGGGTTAGTTATCACAGGAATGGGAAAATTAAAAAAGGGGGAAGTTCAGCCTCCTTCTCCTCTCTTTTAAATGCTTTCTCACTGTGTGATACCTTCTGCTGTGTGATAATACAGAAGGTCCTCACCAAATGCTGCTTCGAAATCTTGGTTTTCCCAGCCTCTAGAACCATGAGCCAAATAAACTTCTGTTGTGTATGATTTACCCAGTCTTCAGTATTCTGTTATAGTAGCAGAAAACAAAGAAGTTGGTACCAGAAAGTAGGATTATTCACTGTAACAAATGCCTGAAAATGTGGAAGTAGCTTTGGAACTTGGTAATGGGTAAATACTGAAAAATTTTGGAGGAGTGAGCCAGAAAATGCATAGATTGCCACAAAGCATGAAGGGCAGTTCTGGTGAGGGCTTGGAGGAAGAGGAGAGTTGGAGGGCAAGTCTTTCTTTTTAGAAATTACTTAAGTGGTCTTGATCACAATGTTGTTAGAAATATGATAGTAAAGACTGCTGTGATGAAGTCTCAGATAGAAATAAGTAATTGGAAACTGGAGTGAAGGCCAGTCTTGTTAAACATTTGCAAAGAACTTGGTGTAACATGTTCTAGAACTTTATGGAGTACAGAATTTAAAAACAACTCAGAAGAAATTTCTAAGCATCAAAGCTTTCAAGCTGCTGTGTTGCCATTTTTAATTACCTACATTGAGATGAAAGAGGAAAGAAATGACTTAAAGACTGAATTTATAATTAAAAGAGAAGCAAGTTGGAAAGATGTGGAAAATCCACAGCCTAGTCAGGTAAAGAGTGAAAAAGTGTGTTTAAGAGATCAAACCAAGGGTATGACCAAGAACCGTTGGCCGAAGAGATTAGCATGGACAGAAGAAAGACATATTCTATTCATCGACTATTGGAGCTAGACTCTGAAGGCATTTCAGAGATACTTGAGGCTGCCAACTCTTATCACAGGTCCAGGGTGCTCTCCAGGCTCATTGCCCAGGGCCTCACTGGATCTCTGCTCCCTGCCTTCTGAATGCAGCACTCTTTGGCCACCACAACTGTAACTCAGGTGGATCCAGGTGTGGCTTGACCTGCCTCTCCGGAAGGTACAAGTGGTAAATTTTAGCAGCACATGTGTGATGCTAATTTTGCAGGCACACAGAATATAAGACCTTTGGGAGCATAGCTCCCTCCTAGATTTCAAAGAACATCATGGTCAGCTCGAGGGCCCAGTGAGAGACTTGTGGCAGAGATGGAACCACTACAAAAAAGCCCCTACAGCTACAGTACTGAGCAGAACTGTGGGATTAGTAGTGGAGCTTTTGAAGAGAGTACACCTTAGGGTAGTGCCTGGTAGAACCATGGGAATGGGGTTGTCCTCAGTACCCCAAAACTTTAGAGCTACCAACATGCAGCATTAGCCTGGGAGACATTCAGGCATGAAACTCCAATATATAAGACCTGCTGGGTGCACTGAGCCCAACAAAGTCATAGGAGCAGGGCTGCCTGAGGCTTTGGAAGCCTAAAACCTAATTCTGTGTGCCAAGATATAGACATGAAGTCAAAGGAGATTATTCTGCAATTTGAAGATTCACTGTTGTGTTCCCTGTTACATTTTGGACTTTAGGATCAGTTACCCCTGTATTTTTTGCCCTTTTCTCCCTTTTGGAATGAAAATGTCTACCCTATGTCTGTATCACCATTGTATTTTAGAATCATGTAATTTGTTTTGACTTCACAGGCTCACAGCTGGAGGGAATTTAGCTTAAGATGAATCATGCCTTGAATTTCACCCATATCTGATTTAGATGAGACTCTGGACTATAGACTTTTTTTTTTTTTTAGGTTTTATTTTGTTTATTTGAAAGGCAGAGTTACATAGAGAGAGGAAAAGACAGAGAGGGAAAACGCTGGTTTACTTCCAAAATGGCCATGATGGCTGAGACTGGATGAGGCTGAAGCCAGGAACCAGGAGTTTTTCTGCGTCTCCCATGTGGGTGCTGGGGCCCAAGGACTTGGACCATCTTCTTTCCTGGGCACATAAGCAGGGAATTATATCAGAAGCAGAGCAGCCAGGACTTGAATCATTGCTCTGATATGGGATGCTGGAGTCACAATCTGTGGGTTTAACCTACTGTGCCACAATGCTATCCCCTGGGCTTTAAAATTTTGAGTTGATGCCACAATGAAATAAGATTTTTGAGATACTGAGATGGAATGAATTAATTTTGGAGGCCAGGGCATAATGTTGTGGTTTGAATGTTTCCCAAAATTCAAATATTGGGAATGTAATCCCCAGTGCAACAGTGTTGAGAAGTGATTAGGTCATGGGGACACCACTCACATGAATGAATTTAGACCACTTTTCCAGTTGTGGTTAGTTATAAAAGGGGGAAGTTTGCCCCCTATTCCTCCTTCTCTCACGTGCTCTCTCATCATGTGAGGCCTTTTCCTATGTTAAGAAGCAGCAAGAAGGTCTTCATTGGGATCTTACAGTTTCCAGCCTCCAGAATTGTAAACCAAATCAACTTCTATTTTTGATAGTTTACTATCTGTGATGATCTGTTTTTATAACAGAAAAATGGACTAAGACTTACTCCATGGGTTCTTTGTGTCCTTCAGGATTTTCATTCCATTGGACCAGCAATAAATTAGTAGAACTGACTTATTAACCACCACATGTCCTCAACTTTAGTGCTTTCTCAGCATACATTTGAGGAAGATCACTGACATCATTCCTTTGGATAAACACATGGCTCCCTTGCCCTTCTGTTCCTCCATCATATTTTTCTAGTTACATTCAGCTGTCCATATAAACCATGGCTACACCTAAGCAGTGAAACATACCCATCTTAGCTGTTCTCACTTGAGGCCCTCAGCATTCCCCAGGAACCACTCTACATTTCCATAGTCAATTTATTCTCTTACCAGGGACTGTGTCACACCTGCCGTGTCCTTAAAAACATCCCAAGTCCTTTCTGTAACCTTCTAATTCAATATGATTACCTTATCTCTTATTCTACTGAGAAAATAGAATACAAACATGGTATGGTTTAAGGTCTGAGACCAAATTACCCTCTGATTCCCATGGTTTTTCTGTTTCGCTTTGTAGCTTCCTCCTCTTACAAGTTTTACTCTTAGTAGTAAAAGTTGTTGGAAAAATTGCCTGTACTCACCATTTTCCTCATCTCCCATTCACTTTTGAACCACCCCACTACCTCAGTAAAACTTCCCTTGTTAAAATCAAAGTATTCTAATATATCGGTATGTATGGAAAAATATACATTTTGAATATAAGCAATATAGTAAAACTGACAAAAGTAGGCATTCATTCACTATTGTATGAGTCAATGTATGTTGGGTAGAGAATATATACTTTTTGCTTTTGCAGTATTGCATTTGAGAACATTGGCTACTTTCCCTCAACTTTTTGAGGCAAAAGACCATATGTAACATACATTAGGGTGTAAAGAATAAGTACTCAGGTGCCTATTATCCAGTTTAATAAGTTATTAACAATACTTTTAAAGTCCTTGTATGGACCTCCACCCCATTCTGTCTCTCTCCCCAGAAGTAACCACTATTCTGTATTTTCTATATATTATTTCTTTGCTTTTCATGAAATTTTGCTATATACTGTATGTGCCCCAATATATTGTTAGATATTACATATTTTTATATAAATGCAGTAATGCTATATGTAAGTATGTATTCTTCAGAGGTTTTTTTTTCACTGAGCAGCAAATTATTAAATTATCTGTGAGTTTGCATAACATAATACTTTTATTGGTATGTGGTATTATGGCATATGGACATAATACAATTTTTTTCTTTCTATAATGAAAATTTTTATTCTGATTATTGAAGTTACACACATTCAAGAAAGTGTACAAATCCCACATCTCTAGCTCAGTGAATTATCAGAAAGTGCATATTACAAACCAGTTCAATATACAAAACACGACCAGTACAAAAGAGCCACCCTTGAGCTCCCTCCCCAAAGGTAACCACTATCCTCATTTCTAATTTAGAGATTAGTTATATCTGTGTTGGGACCTGATGTAAATGAGAGTATATGGAATATTTTTTAACTTGAGTTCCTTCTCTCAATTTTATGTAAGATTCACCCCAGTTGTATGCAGCTATAGTTTGTTCTGTTTATTTTCATTGCTGTGTAGAATTCTCTGATATGATTTTACACAACTTATTTATCCATTTTATGATTGATGAAAACTTGGATTGTTTCCAGTTTTTGACTATTATAAAAGTACTGTGAACATCCTTTGAAATACACAAATGCAAGCATTTTTCTTGGGTGCAAAGAGTGGGATTGCTCAGTCATAAGAGAGATCATACCTTATTTAATCATTCTGCTTTTGATGGATGATTATACTGTACTGCTATGAACATTTCTGTGTATGTGTCCTGGTTCAAAACTGCCTACATAGGCATTCAATGGAATAGATACACAGGAATGAAATTACTGAGTCTGAGCACCTGTGTATCTTCAGTTTTACAAATAATGTAAAATTGTTTTCCAGAGTAATTTGTACAAGTTTAAAATCTACCCAACACAGCCTGCATTCCTGCTCCACATTCTTAGCAATTCCTACATTTTTGCCAGTCTGGAAGATGTGTCATGGTTTATCATGGCTTTAAAATGTGTCTGTCCCTGATTACTAAGAGGATTGAAGCTTTTTATTTATGCACTATTTCTGTTTTTAAAATTGAATGTTTTTCTGCTTATTCTTCAGTGTGGAGATGTACTTTCCTCAGAATGACTCTTGGATTGGCTTGGCACCACTAAACATTCCTCGCTATGAATTTGGAATATGTGTTTTAGATCAAAAAGTGTATGTTATCGGTGGTATTGAAACTAATGTGCGTCCTGGAGTCACGATCAGAAAGCATGAAAATTCAGTAGAATGCTGGAATCCTGATACAAATACCTGGACTTCTTTAGAGAGAATGAATGAAAGCCGAAGTACACTTGGAGTAGCAGTACTTGCCAGAGAACTTTATGCTTTAGGTGGTTATGATGGACAGTCTTATTTACAATCTGTAGAGAAATATATCCCCCAAATAAGAAGATGGCAACCTGTGGCACCAATGACCACAACAAGAAGTTGTTTTGCTGCAGCTGTGTTGGATGGAATGATATATGCCATTGGTGGGTATGGTCCTGCACACATGAACAGGTATTTAACTTAATCAGATTCTGTGTATTTATAGCATTTTTAGAAGTATCTTTAATGATAGTTTCTGAGTTTCAAGCAATTTGTGTGTACAAATGAACTTTATTTTAAAAATTTTTAAGTAATATTGGAGGTATTTGGAAAATTTAATCTGCTCCATGAATGTAATTGTTTTTGTTTTATGTAAATGTTTAATACACACTTAAGAATCAAAACCCCCCAAAAGAATTAAATCCCTCATACTACATTTTCCATGTAGTCATTTAGTAGAAATGACTAGATTTTAAAACAACTGAAAATAAGACAAAGTTAGACAACTTTAGATTTTACAAGGTGGTATGTGTATATGATATGGTCTTTTATGCCACTGCTTAATAGAATAAAGAAATGGAAATATTCCTATATGCCAATCAAATCCTTTAATGTCATAAACTAAAAGCCTTACTTAAATCTTCCTTTCTGGACTCTTACCTTATATGCATGCATTTATCATGATGCATCTGAGTTGTGTTAGTCTGAATTACAGATTTCTATATTCAGTAGTTTAGGAATAAAGGGTGAAAGATACATATGAGAAAATAAAAATCTAAAGTCACTATTTTTATGGAGTATTAGTTAAAATTCTGAAGCTTTGTCGACAACAGATGCCCCAAAGAGTACATGTCTAATGGGTAAAGAGGTATGTGTTTTATTGATTGTGAGCATTTTAATGAAAGAGTATGATTTGTTAACTGAATCAGAAATGATGACATAACAGCCTTTCATCTATACATTTCTATTACAGTCTAAGTATTCCTTTATATATATATATATATATATATATATATATATATATACACACACACACACACATACACACATACATATAATTTTTGGAGTTGAAAAAATATTTCAGGTCCAGATAATGCATTTCTGTCTATGAAATGCATTATCTGGCTAAACTTTATAAGATATTATGTAATTTAATTTTAGATATGTTCTTGAAATTTGAGGTCTTGTTACAGTTCATCCCTGCAATCTTTTTTTTTCCCCAAAGATTTATTTATTTATTTATTGAAAGAGTTACACAGAGAGAGAAGGAGAGGTACAGAAAGAGAGAGGTCTTCCATCCATTAGTTCACTCCCCAGATAGCTGCAACGGCCAGAGCTGCACTGATCCAAAGCCAGGAGCCAGGAGCTTCTTCCAGGTCCCCCACGTGGGTGCAGGGGCCCCAGGACTTGGGCCATCTTCCACTGCTTTCCCAGGCCATAGCACAGAGCTGGATTGGAAGTGGAGCATTCGGGACTCGAACTGGCACCCATATGGGATGCACTGCACTGTAGGCAGTGGCTTTACTTGCTACGCTATAGTGCTGCCCCCCCATCCCTGCAGTCTTATCAGCAAGAATCTAAACATTTGGAACAACCTACTATTGTTTTATATTTATTTATTTAAGCTTTAAAAATTATAGTGGGCTTTAGTTTTGCTTTGGCAGGAAGAGTAACATAAAGTATCTGTTAATTAATTTATTCTTTTGTGGATATTTGCAGTGTGGAGCGTTATGATCCAAGTAAGGATTGCTGGGAGATGGTTGCATCCATGGCAGATAAAAGGATTCACTTTGGCGTTGGTGTCATGCTAGGCTTTATTTTTGTAGTGGGTGGACATAATGGTGTCTCACATTTGTCAAGCATTGAAAGATATGACCCTCACCAAAATCAGTGGACTGTGTGTAGACCAATGAAAGAACCCAGAACAGGTAATAATTTTATTAATTTCCAAACTACAGGGCATTGCTCTTCTGGAAATATAAGAATAAGGGTATTACTTATGTAGAAAAATTTTTTGTGGTAATAATAAATAAACTAGCTGAACAAAATTAAAGTTTCTTTGATCTAATTTTAATATGCCACTGTGCATGTTAATCATTTCTCAAAAGGATAATAGAGCATATTTTTTATAGAAGCTTGTTTTTGCATATAACAGATATCATCTTTTTATATGTTATGTACATGCCCTTCTTGGATTGTTCTGATTTGTTTTTTGTTGTGCCCCAGCATTCTATGTGTATTCACTTGTAAAGATTCTCTCTCCCCCAGTCAAAAAAGAAAAAAAGGGGGGTGGTATTTGATTTCAGGATTCCTAGGAAAAGAAAAAAATACATAATTGAAGGTATGAAGAAATTGCAGTCTTTGAACCCAAACTCCAGTCACATTATTTTAAGGGACAAGTTTTAAATTACTGAGGGAGATGCTTTAGGGGTGCAGTATTTATTTTTCATATTTATGAAAGAAACTCTTAAAGCAAATCCTCACAAAGCTATTAACCTTTGGTTTAAACCTTTTTGCGATAATTGTGAATACGACTAACTAGACAAAATAAAATTTCTTTACTCTAATACAGGGTTTACCATATCTAGTCTCTTTGGTATGCTTGCCAGGGAAAACCATATAAGCAGTGGGTACTTTAAAAAACTTGAGTGAGCTTGTTCTTTTTAGAACTCTACATGACAATTCTAAGGCAGAATTTTTAAAAACATAGTTTAGTATATTTGAATATGTTGAAAATCTGATCAAATGAATCAGTTCTAGAAAAACATACATAAATTGATAGGAAAGTATATGGAAAACTTTGTACTGCATTCTTAATAGTACTTTCCTGTCATGGAAAGAGAAGAGTAGAATTAGAAGTAAAGGAAGACTTTTCTGTTAATGGGGCTTTCTCCCGGTAAGCACTTACTGCTACATTGCTTGTGTAATTACAGTTGGTTGTTGAAATAAATTTTAAGAAAACATTACAAATCCATTTATTGTTAGTGGAAGAGGTCTACTCCATGGTTAACATGTTTCCTTCTTTTTACACACTGTTCCTAGGAGTGGGTGCTGCAGTTATCGACAACTACCTTTATGTAGTCGGAGGTCATTCAGGGTCTTCCTATCTGAATACAGTGCAGAAATATGACCCTATCTCAGACACATGGCTGGATTCAGCTGGCATGATATACTGTCGCTGCAACTTTGGATTAACTGCACTTTGACAGGTGTGACTACTTGGAAATAATGTGATGGTGAAACTTGTACCGCATGAAAGGATGCCCAGCTTTCTGAAACCCAAAAGCTGCATTGCTCTCTTTTTAACTTGAAGTGGCATGAAGACTTAAAGTTCTGTTGGGTTCTTCCAATTCACAAGTAGTTATGGTTGCTCTTGATTACACAGTAAAACAATAATCAAAAAGAAAAAAGACAAAAAAAAAAAAAAAGAGGAAAGACCCTGCCAGTTTAATTGTGCACTTTTTTCCCTTACAACTGAGCTACACTAATATTATGTTCCTAAGTGTACATGCAGAGAAGACCTCGCTGCTTGTTTTCTATTTTTTATTTTAGCTTTTCCTCCTTGATATATACCATGATTTACTAGGATGACAGAGGCTTTAGATGTTGTAGTATATGGAGTGACTGGACAGAGTACTGACACTGCCTGTTGGATGTAAATTCATATGTGTTGCATTTTTTAAAACAAAGGGCTGCTTTTCCTTTTGGTACTTTTAAGGGTTGTAAACAACATATCATAGTGAGTCATCTGAATACTCTTCCTACTAAGTGGTTTTAGGGCTGGCCTTTTAATAGGTTTATATGACAGTTGCTTTTACTAACATGATATTTGGGGTCCTATTTTAAGAAGTCAGATATTCACTGTGTATGCCTTTTATATATTGGGAGGTTAATGCAGGATGATTTTAGTTACTCATCTACATTATGATAAATGTGGATAGAAAGAATTAATAAGATCAGTTATTTCAGTTTTTCTTTAGTAAGTAGTAGAGAGCAAGCTTCCCAGTGTTGATGTAAGTATTTAAGATGTGTTTCAGTACCACCCTTAGTGCATATTAGTTTTTTCATATATCATTATAATAATTTTAATTTTTAAGATTTTTGTTTGCTTTTTCAAAGTGTTCAGATAAAAATGGTGCTAATTGTAGGATTTATAAAAGGCTATAACTGATGTTCTTTTGGATGTTCACTATGAGATATGCATGACAGATTTTGGTAGTCTTTTTCATTTTTACTGGTTTGATTCGTTAGTGCTTATTAAAAATGTCTGTGATTACACCAATGTTAACATCCAAAAATCACCTAAATGGCCTATGTTATGCTTTCATGGCTCCTGAATAGTGATTTAAAGAAAGATACATATTTTGATCTTCTTTCTTCTTGTGCTTGATGTTACACATCTTTCTTAAAAACAGGAATATATGCATTAAATATCAAGCACTTAGAGGCAGTTATGCATTACTTTGTACATTTCTTAGGTAACTTTATATTTCGAAGTTATTGAGGAAAACTGGAACTCGATGTTTACTTGAGTAGTGGTTCTAAATTTGGTTCTGCTTTAATTGGAGAAAGTCTTTTAAAGCAAAATTGTTTGCTATAGCCAATGATAGCTTATTTAAAAGATCAGTTAACTTATTTTATTTTAGCATGTTTTAATAAATGTCTATTAAACACATTAGCTTGCATTTTAATATGATGTTGGTACTTGTATTTTGGTACTGTATTCATTTTGTTTTCTTGATTTTTTTAACTTGCCCACTATCTCCTTATAAAGTCTCTGCAAGACCAGTGTATATTTTTTTCCTAACAAAACATTCATTCTGCATTCTTAAGTGCCATAATGTTCTAAACTATTGTGAAGAAGCCATTTGTAATTATAAAACATAGATTCATTTTTTAGAATATATTTTACTTCTTGGGCAATTTATAGTTTTCCTGTTCTTCCATAAATTGCCAGTTATGTATTTGAACATATACTATAAAACTATGTAAAATCATATTTAGTCATAAGAGTAGTATCATGCATTATGAATATTTGCACAAATTATAAAACCTTGCAGTTTTTACTCTCTTCTAATTTAGAACTCAACAGGAACTATTAATAAAATCAACAGCCTGATTATTTTCTATGTTGCTTGTTTGAATAACATAATGATATATAGCAATAACTTTTTCATTGATTTCAATAAATCTGTTGAATAGAAATAAGGTGCACTATTGTACTTGGCCTACACATTAAAGAAAAGCAATTTAAAATAGATCTCATAATATACTTCATTTTAAATCCCTAAATGATTTTCTTTGTTTATATCCATAAAATCATTAAAATCATCCTATTCTAGTTTTAAAGTCGTCTCCCAGAAGACAAGGGAATTTGGAAAACTGTAGAAAATTATTTTAATTGTAAACACATCTATACTGTACACTTTATTTTAAAATGTTTTATTTGCATCTTGTCTCTACTGTCCAGTTAGTGTAAAATACATAATCATTTGGCAGATTAGATCAAAATCATGCACTGATTATTGAAAAATCTAAATTTCTTCTTAGTCAAGACTAAATGTGAAACATCTTGGGCAATAGTAGGAGCCATATACCAGTGAACAACTTAGGAAAACTTGTGAAGGGAAGAGAAAAATCATTCAAAATTTAAAAATATATTTATTTTAGGATTTCTAAACCTACTATAGTATTCAAAATAACCAGAGCTTCTAATATGACCTGACAATAAGTTTACAATAGGGCATTCTCTTATAATTTGAGAAATTTTATTGTAAATATTCTGCTGAAAAATTGTGAATTTAAAGTCACTTTTTTATGTTAAAAAGGATCAAAATGTTTGCTTATAAATCCCCAGGGTTTAAGGTATTAGAAAGTAATTACATTTATTTAGGCAAGGAAGGGAAAGCTGTTTTATGGTTGCCCAGAAATATTCTAGAAAATAGAAAATAACAGCAATGGGGACTAGAAATTAATCAGTTGTAAGATAATTGCTTTCTATAATTATGTTACAAAGACTTAACCTGTTAGGAATATTTGACTTTAATATTTGTTGGATGTAATAATATAACTTAACTGATTTTAGATGTAACCCAAAGGATATTTACAAGTTCTATATGTTAATGCTAAAATTGTTTTAAATATAAGTGGATATTAAATTGTAGGGAGTGGTATCAAGCTATAGGAAAATGGCATTGGGTTATGGAAGTTAATAGTTTGACACATACAGAGGGCTACTATATGTATAACTAATGTGCTACATGCTGCAAGAGCTAGAAATACCAGTGAGATAAGCTCTTTTCACTCAGAGGGTAAAATATAGTGTGAGAGACCTGTACCCAAGTAACTGTTAGAGTAGAAGATGTATCTAATTCCTTATCTCCAGTATCATAAGAAGTGTTTAGAAACTTAGTCTATATATATAAACAATTCTTTAGTGTTCAATTGAGTTTTAATGGCATGAATAAGAATTATGAAAAACCTAATGTTTATAGAATTCCCAATTTTCTGGAAATGGATAATGTATTTTCAAATAGAAAAATAAAACTACAGAAATTAAAAAACAGCAACTATTTCTTAGTGTCAGAGCTCTGGCTAACATCAAAGGAAATACATAAATGTATATAGTAATGCTATATTTGTTTTCAGTTTTGGTATTGGATTCCTAGTATTGTCACCTAAGTGCTCATTTTCAGGAAAATCAGATACTATGATACACTTACTGCTTAAAGTTGAATAAACTTGTGATAACCTCTATAACCTCTGTAATTTAAAAGGTAAGCAATTATAACATGTCACATGTCAAGTTAACATCCAGTTCAACTTCTTAACTGTTTTTTCCCTTTGTAAACAGCACTTTAGTTAGACATGATTTATTAGATGGTGACTATTCTGTGGCTGGATACATATTGGACTTTCACTTACAGTATATTTATTCAGTGTTGAGACACATTTGAAAAAAGTAAAAAATACAATACGTTTCAATTATAGGTTTACAAATTTTCTTATTGGTGTGAATATGGAGTAAAATAAAAATCCAGTTTACATCTCTGCAGAGAGAAAAATTGTTATCCATATGTCTTTTATATTATATATATTTAACTAGAGGTAATTTATTGTTAATTTTGTCAAGTTATCATGTGTAAGTCCCATTTATTTCAAAATACCAAGCAAAAAGTTCCAAGTTTGCCTTAAAATACAAGTGAAATTAAAGAACTGGATGATAATGCCTATATTTTTGCCTTATGAATTATGCTGTACCATAAACCAGAGATGGTTTTGATTTTAACAGGATTCTGAAATTTTGTAGATGTAGAGTACTAATATTTGTACTCTCTTGCAAAGAATGTCATCTAGTTGTGGATTATGTTACTATTTAAATGTTTTTGTATCTGCATTTTACCTCCAAATATGTACCTTTTTAGCATCAGGGTTTTATTTTTTTATTTTTGTTTACATAGTAAAGTGGCATTTATCTTGTTGAAGATTGTATTCTTTTGTCTTTTATTTTAAAAGTTCTTTGTTTATATTATTGTGGTAATGTTCTGTAATGATTATAGTTAAATTTCATTTATTGTGAAATGTTTAAAATAAAATTGAAAAATTTAAATGTTTCATGAGATTATTGTTGTGAACCTGAAAACCAACTTTATCATGCTCAACTCATAAATTCATTTTGGTAAATAGGTAGTGGCCTCAAAAATTGAGATGTAGGGGTGTAGGGGACGAACATTTAGCCTTAAGATGCCGACATCCCACACCGTCCCAGCTCCAGCTCCTGACTCCAGGTTCCTGCCAGTGCAGACCCTCAGAGGCAATGGCAATGACTCAAGTGGTTTGCTTCCTGTCACCCACATGGGGAAACCTGGATTGTATTACTGGCTCCTGACTTTAGACCTTGGCCCAGCCCTGACCATGCCCTAGGCCTTACAAGCATTTGTGGTTTGGACCAGTGGATGGAAGGTCTGTGGAGAGGAGTGTGTGTTTCTCTCTCTCTGCCTCTCAAAAAAATTTAAAAGAAGTTGAAGTGGGTGTGGGATAGCCACCCTTTACATCCTCATCACTAGGTTATAATGAAAACACTTTTTAGGCCAAATTCTGCCACTTGTGCAGACATTTATTAAAGGAACATGCATTAGCAAAGCAGGTACAAAAGAGTTCAGTCACCTCAGACACCTTAGTACACCCCAGACTTCTGTACTTTTAGATTGTGTAATTAGCCTTCTGGGAGGAGAAGTTTACTTGAGCAGACAAGGTAGTGTCCTAAAAGATTCTATTACTTTATGATCAGCATAAAGTAAGCAGTGGTCCTGAAGAAAGGGTAATAAACAAAACATTGAGTCCCAGATGATATTTTTAAAGGAAGTTGTAAATGAATGATCTGAATTGATTCAAATCTTTAATTTCACTAGTAAGAGCAACTTTCTGGTACCATGTTAATCTATTAGCCACTTCCCCAATACATATTCCTGACACTTAATATGTTCATTAGCAAAGTATTTGGTGTCAATCATTATGGTTAACAAGGACTTGCAGTTGCCTTGAGTACAGCAATTTTTTTGTTAGCATGCCAGCATTCTTGATGAGGGCAATTTTGTGTTGAAGTTGGAATTTAAAGATATGTCCTGAAAAAGATATATATATTAAATATTTATTTTTTCTTATTTTTATATTTTATATATTTATAATTTATATATTATATAGTATAGTATATAATGTATACTATAATATTTTACGTATTTTAAATAAAAATATAAATATATAAAATGTAGATGACAAAAATACATAAATATGCATTTTGAAAGAAACACATGGTAAAATACTAAAATCAAGATTTCTTGGTTAAGTGACTCTTTAGGTTCTTTTTATTCTAAGGCATGCACAATGCACAGATAGTTCTCATAGTACCCAAAAGTCACTGTATAAAATCTGTCAGTTGTTAACTGGGAGCTTAGGAGGTGCAAGGAATGCTGGAAGGTCTGGTGAAACCTAACCTATAATCTTCTTGCGGAATGTGAAGACACCAGGGAGGAGGAAGAAAATGCTGCTCTGGCAAAGCTCCATCTGTGCCTCTTGGGTTCTTTCATAAAATTACTGATGACTCTCTTGTTTGGGACAGTAATGAGGGTGGAAGTTGCAACCCTTAATTTGGAAGATCATGTGTTGGGTAGATGGTAGGAGTCAGCAATAACTGGAATGGAACAGAATTCAATTTTGCATCTAGTGGAATATAAAAAGCCCTTCCAGTGCAGAGCCAGTACTCAAGGCTAGGAGTCAGATTATGTCCTGTGGTAAAGAGACAGTATCAGAATACATCAAGTGAGTTTTTACATGTGCTTGTTTTTTATTCTTTCTTCTTTTTAATAGAACTGAAATCTTCACATATCACCCAGCTTCAACTGCTAACCATGTTTTTCTAATCCTACTTCGTCTATTCAACTACTCTTTCGTTTTTGAAAATCCCAGACAGAATGTGATGTGGCTATTAAGTAACTGAAGCTGTATCTCTAACTGATACAAATACAAAAATATATTCTGTAAGTCATGATGATATAGTCACACTTAAAATTGTGATACCTTTGTAATATTTAGTACCATGTCTATATTCATACTTCCTTGATGTCTGAAAGATATTTTGTTTTTAGCATTGGTTGCTTTGAGTCAGTATCTATATAAGGTTTATATATTACATTTAACTCTTATGTCTCTTAAATCTCATTTTTTTTAAAAGATTTTTTTATTTATTTAAAAGTCAGAGTTACATAGAGAGAGGAGAGGCAGAGAGGTCTTCCACCCGCTGGTTCACTCCCCAACTGGCCACAATGGCCAGAGCTGCGCCGATTCGGAGCCAGGAGCCAGGAGCCTCTTCTGGGCCCAAGCACCTGGACCATCTTCTACTGCTTTCCCAGGCAACAGCAGAAAGCTGGATTGGAAGTGGAGCAGCCAGGTCTCAAACCTGCATCCGTATGGAATGCTGGCACTACAAGCGGTGCCTTTACCCTCTAAGCCACAGCACCAGCCCCCTTAAATCCCCTTTAATCTCCACTAGTCACTGCCTTCACCCATAGTTTTTTTTCCTGCATTTTGTCAAATGAACAAGGTCATTTGTCTAATAGATTACCCCATATTCTAGATTTAGGTGATCATTTTCTTGTGGTATTTTTTAAAAAAGATTTATTTATTTATTTATTTGAAAGTCAGAGTTACAGAGAAAGGGAGAGACAGAGAGAGAGAAAGAGATCTTTCATCCACTAGTTCCTCCTCAAATGGCCATATCAGCCAAGGCTGGTCTAGGCCAAAGCCAGGAGCCAGGGACTTCATCTGGGTCTCTCAAGTGAGTGACAGAGACCCAAACACTTAGCCCATCTTTGCTGCTTTTCTCAGGCCATTAGTGGGGAGCTGGATCAGAAGTGGAGCTGCTGGGATTCAAACAGGCATCCATATAGGATGCCAGTGTGGCAAACGGTGGCTTTACCCACTACACCACAATGCTGGCCCTGTCTTGTGGTATTTTTTTTTTTAACTTGTCTCATTCTTCAAGTTTTCTATAAACTGATAGATGTAGACTCTTGATTAGATTTATTATTTACTTGTTTGGGCCACCATAGTTGATATGTACACTTCCCATTGCCTTGTGTCATAAAATATATTATGTCTGGCTATTTCAATTTTGGTAATGCTAAGACTAATTACTGAATTTGAAGTTCAACTGCCAGTCTGATTCTTTGACATTATCAGGTTTCCCTTCAATTTCTCACCTGGTGATTTTAGCAGTTATTGACGGCCTCTGTTACTATATTAAGGATTGCAAAATGGCGATTTTTCCAATTCTGTCATTCCTTCTATATTTACTAGCTGGAATTGTACAAAGGAAAGTTGTCCTCATCACCTAATTGGTTGCCTTTAGAGACAATATTTAAAAAAAAATGTAGCAGGAAATGTTTGATTCATTCCTCTTTCACTCCTTAGAACTGGTACCATAGCTACCCACAAAAGCCACTGATTATCATTATCTCAGGAATTTTTATGTATTTGTTTATTTTTTAGGCATATATACCTCTTAGGTTCTACTGAAAGTTTCCTTGCTTTTCAACCAACTTCCAAAAAACTGTTATTAAGATAAAATATTGTCAAATCTGTAGAACAGTAAAAATAATAGAACTAGTCTTGTATACACTTTCCAAGATTCACTAACTTTTTTAAAGATTTATTTTATTTATTTGAAAGAGTTACAGAGAGAGGTAAAGACACAGAGAGAGAGGTCTTCCATCTTCTGGTTCACTCCCCAGATGGCTGCAATGGCCAGAGCTGTGCCCATCCGAAGCCAGGAGCCAGGAGCTTCTTCTGGGTCTCCCATGCAGGTGCAGGGGCCCAAAGACTTAGGCCATCTTCCACTGCTATCCCAGGCCATAGCAGAGATGTGGATCGGAAGAAGAGTAGCCGGGACAAGAACTGGCACCCATATGGGGTGCCAGCACTTCAGGCCAGGGCTTTAACCCACTGCACCACAGCTGCCAGCCCCCCAGATTCACTAATTTTTACATCTTCTCTGTTTAAGCTTATTTATTTATTTATTTATTTGAAAAGTAGAGTTACAGACAGTGAGAGAGAGAGACAGAGAGAAAGGTCTTCCTTCTGTTGGTTCACTCCCCAATTGGCCCCCAACGGCCGGAGCCGCACTGATCCGAAGCCAGGAGCCAGGCAGGAGCTTTTTCCAGGTCTCCCACGTGGGTGCAGGGGCCCAAGGACTCGGGCCATCTTCTACTGCTTTCCCAGGCCATAGCAGAGAGCTGGATCAGAAATGGAGCAGATGGGACTCAAACGGTTGCATATATGGGATGCCGGCATTGCAGGCAGCAGCTTTACCTGCTACGCCACAACATCAGCCCCAAAACACTCTTTTTAACGTTTTTTCATTTAATATATTCTGGATATTGCTTTATACCACTCATCCTTTTTTTTAATAGTTGCATGGTACTTTTCTTTGCCATAGGACTTTATTTTTTAAGATTGTATTTATTTATTTGACAGGTAGAGTTACAGAGTGAGGGAAAGACAGAGAAAAAGGTCTTCCATCTGCTGGTTCACTCCCTAAATGGCAACTCCCCAAGCGGAAGCTTAGCCTATTATGCCAAAGCACCAGCCCTTATCATAGGACTTTTTTTTTTTTTTTTTTTTTAAGATTTATTTTTGGCCAGCGTTTCTGCTCAATAGGCTAATCCTCTGCCTGCGGCGCTGACACCCCAGGTTCTAGTCCCAGTCGGGGCGCCGGATTCTGTCCCGGTTGCTCCTCTTCCAGTCCAGCTCTCTGCTGTGGCCTGGGAGTGCAGTGGAGGATGGCCCAAGTGCTTGGGCTCTGCACCCGCATGGGAGACCAGGATAAGCACCTGGCTCCTGGCTTTGGATCAGCGCAGTGCACCGCAGCGGCCACTGTGGGGTGAACCAATGGCAAAGGAAGACCTTTCTCTCTGTCTCTCTCTCTCACTGTCCACTCTGCCTGTCAAAAAAAAAATTCATTTTATTTATTTGAAAGACAGAGTTACAGAGGGAAGTAGAGACAGAGAGGTCTTCCATTTGCTGGTTCACTCCCCAGAGGGCTGCAACGGCAGG